CATCAGCCACATCAACAACCCCCCACATCACCCCTCCACCCCCTCATCATCAGCCACATCAACAATCCACCACATCATCCCTCCACCCCATCATCATCAGCCACATCAACAATCCACCACATCATCCCTCCACCCCATCATCATCAGCCACATCAAAAATCCACCACATCATCCCTCCACCCCATCATCATCAGCCACATCATCCCTCAGCCACAGTATCCCTCCACCACAACCTTCTTCCACCACATCATCCCTCCACCACAACCTCCTTCCACCATATCATTCCTCCACTACATCATCCCTCCACCACATCATCGCTCCACCACACATATCTGGCAATGAAATAACTGCTCCCCTCACCCCCCCACCAATTGCTCCTCCTTACTCAAAGTCAACTCAGTGCCCGCTAAGGTGATATTCCGAGTAAACAATTCCTAGTCAACATGCCTGTTTGCCAGTCTCATGTTTAGCGCACGTTAAGAACACAGTTCCTCCTTAGACTGTTTGCTGAGCCTGAGTATTAGATGATAATCACAGTGGACAATTCTGGATAAAAAAAGGTAAGAACATTATTTAATAAAAACACACGATTTTTCAGAAATAATCCAGCAGACTAACCAAGTTGTTTCAGTGTCTGGTAATTTTTCGTTCGCAGCAGAAGTCGCAACATTGTCTCGGTCTGCTGATTTCTAGTCGAAATGTTGAGGAAGAGAATGAAATGTGAATTAATTTTTATCCTTTTGATTTGGACGTCCGCAGAGGAGTCACGGGACGTGGGCGACTCTCGCAACAGTTCTTTTATATCAGATGAGGTCAAGAAAATAGCCTCAGCACCAAAGATTTCACACAACGTACATGTGACGTCTGCTGGGTTAGGAAGTGAGCCGTTTAACAATGCGTCAACCAATGAGAATCAAGGAGGAAGCGGTAACTTCGGCAATGGCGTAAATGCGTCACGTGATCTGTTTGAACGATTTAAGGAGAAACTGGCGGCGATCCGACTTAAAAAGAGTCCATCGGTGAATGTCAACACGTCGAGAAAACTCTTGGCACAAAAACAAACTCTGATCAATCCATTTGGTCTAACAAAGCTGGTGACTAGTCAGTCTAGACAAAACACGAAGTTAGAGGCTACAGTTACTGATGACGTCACGTCGTTGGTGGCAGGAAACCGGGGAGATAACTCCAAAATATATTCACAAGGCGTCGAGGATAACTCCTCGATACAGACAGACACAGGACACGTGAGAACAGCTGGCCAGGATGAGATTCACACGACACAGACAGTCACAGGATACATAAAAGCAGCTTCACTTGATGAGGTCAAGTGGTCAGTTGTGCTGAGAGATGTAACGCAGTCATCTGATGACTTACACTTGAAGTCTAGTGATGGGAATGTAGGACCAAGCACCATGCTTCTTCAGTCAGGCACCGCACAATCTCATGACAGAACCACCCAGTCACAGGAAAGCAGCACGAAATCTCAGGACAACTCCACACCCAATCAGGAAACCACCACACCCCGTCTGGACAGCACCACATCACCAAAGGACAGCACCACATCACCCATGGACAGCACCACATCACCAAAGGACATCACCACATCACCAAAACACATCACCACATCACCAAAGGACAGCACCATATCACCAAAGGACAGCACCACATCACCAAAGGACAGCACCACATCACCAAAGGACAGCACCACATCACCTCAGGCCAGTACAGCGACAGAGAAATCTCGTTATGAAGACTCGTTCATTAAACTCCAGAAGTTTCTGAGAAACAGCCCCGCAGTTGCGTACGGTATCCCACCGTACGAAGTTCAGCAGGAACCGCTGCTGAATGAGGCCCTCTCCCTTGAGTTTACACCGTATAAAATCATTGCGGTGGACGAGGTCAAGCAGACTGTTACGGTCTCATGTTACATCAGTCTCCGATGGCGAGACGACAACCTGCGCTGGAACAGAAGTGAGTTTGGTGGCATTGACATGTTTGTGATCAACAGCACAGACTTGTGGACCCCCAGTATCTACCTGCCCAGGTCAGATGGCCACGGGTTGCGGCTGGACCGAACGGATCACCTGACCATCAAGACGCAACGGTTTATGAATGTCGTATCCACATTCCTGTTTCAGTTTACAGTTTTCTGTGAGCTAGATTTATCCATGTATCCATTCGATTTTCAGACCTGCGAGATAACCTTCTCGCAGATGCATGGCTACAAGCTGTCTTCCGTGGAGTCCAAGGAATACGATTTTCAACTGGCCCAAAAGTTGCAAACCTCCGGTGAATGGGCGATAATCTCGTGGAACGCTTCACGCAGCTGGTGGCAGGGAGACCTCCATTTTCTAGCCTACGTCATCAAAATAGAACGTCACAGCACGTATTACGTAGCAAACCTTCTGACGCCGATCTGTCTGACCGCGGTGATGACGCTCCTCGTGTTCTGGATCCCCGCAGAATCCGGGGAAAAAATGTCGTTTCTCGTGTCGATGTTTGTGTCCACCTCCGTCTTCTTGTACACCATCAACGATGTGATGCCCCGCAGCATCAACACGCTTCCCACTATCAACATCGTGGTGGTAGCTGTCAGCTTTGAGATGTTCTTGGCGGCCATTGCCACCCTCGTCTCACTGCGCAGACACAGTCGTCAGCGACACAAGGCGGATGGCTCACCAAGACACAGTCGTCAGCGATGCATGGGGGATGGCTCGCCAAGACACAAACTTCAGCCACAGAAACCGGAGAGCTCTCCATTCAATCTGTCAAATCCCAGAATTCAAAGGAAACAACAAGGCAGTCCACTGGACGCGTATTGTCGTAAACAACAGACTATCAGGTTAGAGTCACGTGTAGAAAGGCAAATGTCATTGATGAGTCAAAGAGATCGAGTTCAAAGATCAAAGTTCACACATTCCGACATAGTTCGTCTAACCCTGAACCAATCTGGCGCGGTCGCCTCAGCAGACGTGAAGAAAGATTACGTCCCTGGAAAGGTTGGATTGATGGATGGACACCGGAAGTTGGAGACAACGTGGTCATCTGAAACCACTGGCATGGGATTAAGAGGCTTGACCTACTTTCAACTGGACATGATCTTCTTTACTTGCTTCTGTGTCGTCATGGTAGTAGGTGCAGTTCTGACATCCTTGATGTGGTTGTAATTGGTGAAGTTCTGACATGCTTGGCGTGGTTGTAATTGGTGAAGTTCTGACACCCTTGATGTGGTTGTAATTGGTGAAGTTCTGACATGCTTGGCGTGGTTTAATTGGTTAAGTTCTGACATCCTTGATGTGGTTGTAATTGGTGAAGTTCTGACATGTTTGACATGGTTTAATTGGTTAAGTTCTGACATGTTCGGCGTCGTTTAATTGGTGAAGTTCTGACATGTTTGGCGTGGTTTAGTTGGTTAAGTTCTGACATGTTCGGCGTGGTTTAATTGGTGAAGTTCTGACATGTTTGACATGGTTTAATTGGTTAAGTTCTGACATGTTTGACATGGTTTAATTGGTTAAGTTCTGACATGTTAGGCGTGGTTTACTTGGTAAAGTTCTGACATGGTTTCCGTGGTTGAAGTTGGTGCATAACTATAGATATTTAGTTAGGAAATAACATTTTAAAAATTCCCTGTTTGTAGAAAGCTACATGGCCAAACTATGTCCAGGGTTGAGTTTAGAGGTTATTTGTAATTGATCAGATGAAATAGATCAATATTTAATTTTGTTAATTCGGTAAAAATATCTCAGGAAAACTTGGAATGGTAACATACGGTCTGTAAAAACTGAATGCGTTCAATTACAGACTGAATGCGTTCAATTACAGACTGAATGCGTTCAATAACAGACTGAATGCGTTCAATTACAGACTGAATGCGTTCAATAACAGAATGAATGCGTTCAATTACAGACTGAATTCGTTCAATAACAGAATGAATGCGTTCAATTACAGACTGAATTCGTTCAATTACATACTGAATGCGTTCAATAACAGAATGAATGCGTTCAATTACAGACTGAATGCGTTCAATTACAGACTTAATGCGTTCAATAACAGACTGAATGCGTTCAATTACAGACTGAATGCGTTCAATAACAGAATGAATGTGTTCAATTACAGACTGAACGCGTTCAATAACAGAATGAATGTGTTCAATAACAGAATGAATGCGTTCAATTACAGACTGAATGCGTTCAATTGCAGACTGAATGCGTTCAATAACAGACTGAATGCGTTCAATAACAGAATGAATGTGTACAATTACAGACTGAATGCGTTCAATTACAGACTGAATGCGTTCAATTACAGTAAAATATTGTGTTAAAACATATTTCCATCTTGCATCTAAATTAGTCTTTATTATAGGTTATTTTTTTCTTGCTATCAACGCTTTGTAATTAGCTTAAACAGCAATAAACTTTTACTGTCCTATATTAGTGTCTCAATGTCCTATATTAATGTCTCATTGTCCTATATAATGTCTCACTGTCCTATATTCATGTCTCACTGTCCTATATTAATATCGTACTATCCTATATTAATGTCTCATTGTCCTATATTAATGTCTCATTATCCTATATTGATGTCTCATTGTCCTATATTAATGTCTTACTGTCCTATATTAATGTCTCATTGTCCTATATTAATGTCTTACTGTCCTATATCAATGTCTCACTGTCCTATATTAATGTCTCACTGTCCAATATTAGTGTCTCACTGTCCTATATTAATGTCTCACTGTCCTATATTAATATCGTACTGTCCTATATTAATGTCTTATTGTCCTATATTAATGTCTTACTGTCCCATATTAATGTCTTACTGTGCTATATTAATGTCTTACTGTCCTATTTTAATGTCTTACTGTGATATATTAATGTCTTACTGTCCTATATTAATCTGTACGAATTTACCAGCGTGCTCTCCCAGAATTCACAAATCTAAATGAGAACTCATAAGTCCCTCATGTGACTAAGAGAGTTCACTGAATGGCTGTTTTTTCCCCTAGTAAAATAATTTAATGTAGATGCCTTTCATTCAAATTATTTAATTGATGCGTTGAAGCTGACACTTACAATGTACGCTGCAATCAAAAAACATTTCCATTTATTATTTGGATCAATAAAAGAATCTTATTTTATTTTATATTAATGTCTCACTGCCATATTTTTCTGTCTCACTGTCATATTTTTCTGTATCACTGTCCTATATTACTGTCTCACTGTCTTATATTAATATCTCACTGACCTATATCAGTGTCTCAAGAGATGCGACAATTTCTCGACCCTGTCATAAAAACCACACTAAACCTCCTCTTCGACCAACCGCCATTTTGATGTCTCCATTCATTTCCTAAGTTCTATTGTCTAACTGCCATCTGTTGGCTAAGCTGACAGTTGTCTAACGCAGTGGTTCTCAGTCAGTCTACCAAAACACATATACACAAATGACGCCCGTTTATGATGTCCTAACATCCCCTCGGAAACTGAGGTCCGACTCACTATCATGTGTGTGCCGTCCTGTGTGTGCCGTCCTGTGTGTGCCGTCCTGTGTGTGCCGCTTCGTCATCCTGCAAGAAGGGGAAGTTAAGGGGTGGGCAGCAAAAAGCAAAGACCAAGAAACTCAGACTTATGCCACCGTTTCGATATGTCAAGTTATGGTTGGATGACCAATTGGTAGGATGACCAATTGGTAGGCTGACCAAATGGTAGGCTGACCAAATGGTAGGGTGACCAAATGGTAGGGTGACCAAATGGTAGGGTGACCAAATGGTAGGCTGACCAAATGGTAGGCTGACCAAATGGTAGGGTGACCAAATGGTAGGGTGACCAAATGGTAGGCTGACCAATTGGTAGGCTGACCAAATGGTAGGCTGACCAAATGGTAGGCTGACCAAATGGTAGGATGACCAAATGGTAGGATGACCAAATGGTAGGCTGACCAAATGGTAGGCTGACCAAATGGTAGGGTGACCAAATGGTAGGGTGACCAAATGGTAGGGTGACCAAATGGTAGGGTGACCAAATGGTAGGGTAACCAAATGGTAGGGTGACCAAATGGTAGGGTGACCAAATGGTAGGGTGACCAAATGGTAGGGTGACCAAATGGTAGGGTGACCAAATGGTAGGGTGACCAAATGGTAGGGTGACCAAATGGTAGGGTGACCAAATGGTAGGGTGACCAAATGGTAGGGTGACCAAATGGTAGGGTGACCAAATGGTAGGGTGACCAAATGGTAGGGTGACCAAATGGTAGGGTGACCAAATGGTAGGGTGACCAAATGGTAGGGTGACCAAATGGTAGGGTGACCAAATGGTAGGGTGACCAAATGGTAGGGTGACCAAATGGTAGGGTGACCAAATGGTAGGGTGACCAAATGGTAGGGTGACCAAATGGTAGGGTGACCAAATGGTAGGGTGACCAAATGGTAGGGTGACCAAATGGTAGGGTGACCAAATGGTAGGGTGACCAAATGGTAGGGTGACCAAATGGTAGGGTGACCAAATGGTAGGGTGACCAAATGGTAGGGTGACCAAATGGTAGGGTGACCAAATGGTAGGGTGACCAAATGGTAGGGTGACCAAATGGTAGGGTGACCAAATGGTAGGGTGACCAAATGGTAGGGTGACCAAATGGTAGGGTGACCAAATGGTAGGGTGACCAAATGGTAGGGTGACCAAATGGTAGGGTGACCAAATGGTAGGGTGACCAAATGGTAGGGTGACCAAATGGTAGGGTGACCAAATGGTAGGGTGACCAAATGGTAGGGTGACCAAATGGTAGGGTGACCAAATGGTAGGGTGACCAAATGGTAGGGTGACCAAATGGTAGGGTGACCAAATGGTAGGGTGACCAAATGGTAGGGTGACCAAATGGTAGGGTGACCAAATGGTAGGGTGACCAAATGGTAGGGTGACCAAATGGTAGGGTGACCAAATGGTAGGGTGACCAAATGGTAGGGTGACCAAATGGTAGGGTGACCAAATGGTAGGGTGACCAAATGGTAGGGTGACCAAATGGTAGGGTGACCAAATGGTAGGGTGACCAAATGGTAGGGTGACCAAATGGTAGGGTGACCAAATGGTAGGGTGACCAAATGGTAGGGTGACCAAATGGTAGGGTGACCAAATGGTAGGGTGACCAAATGGTAGGGTGACCAAATGGTAGGGTGACCAAATGGTAGGGTGACCAAATGGTAGGGTGGCCAAATGGTAGGGTGACCAAATGGTAGGGTGACCAAATGGTAGGCTGACCAAATGGTAGGGTGACCAAATGGTAGGGTGACCAAATGGTAGGGTGACCAAATGGTAGGGTTGCCAAATGGTAGGATGACCAAATGGTAGGGTGGCCAAATGGTAGGATGACCAAATGGTAGGGTGGCCAAATGGTAGGGTGACCAAATGGTAGGGTGGCCAAATGGTAGGAAGACCAAATGGTAGGATGACCAAATGGTAGGATGACCAAATGGTAGGATGACCAAATGGTAGGGTGACCAAATGGTAGGGTGACCAAATGGTAGGGTGACCAAATGGTAGGGTGACCAAATGGTAGGGTGACCAAATGGTAGGGTGACCAAATGGTAGG